AATGTTAAGATATTGAAAATTATATTTAAAAAAAAGCTGGTATGCGGAGGTCGCTCTGCTGTACAATAGGTTACAAGTGGGTCACTGTAATGAATGGTGTTAAGTTTGAATTCAACGATAAAAAATCGTTGTATACGAAAAACGATTCTGAGCGAAGACGGTCTGTCAGTCTATAATATTACTCAATAATTTAGTATATTTGATGATATTATTGTGATTAAAGTAATTTATTTTACTAGTAAGCATTAGTACTACGCAGTAGATTAAATTCATTAAAAAAAAAAGTACATTTGGAAAGTCATGGTGGGTATAAAATATAATAATATACTTTAAAAGTTTCAAGTACCTACGAATAATATTTTTAATTTACAACGAAATAACATAAATCATTATTGTTGGCAATTTAATCATTAATTTAGTTCACATTTGAACACAAAAAAATCTGTGATAATATTTTTTTGATTTTTTTATAACAGAATAACCTACTTGCTTGGAACTTTGTTTTGAATTTTCAACCCTAACCTTCAAAAGTTGAATATTTCAAAAATATTAAATTATAAAATTATTTGTACATTTTTAAATGATATGAATTTTGTTAAAATTAAAATTTTAAATGCTCATTACAAAAATCGTGCCTATGTATTTTAAATATTTTTTAACTAATATTGTAAATATCTATCAGGAGAATTTTATTGAATTTTCAAGCTCTTTTGCCCAACAAATACAATTTTATGAACAATTAATATTTTATTAACATTTAATTATCTCCTGAAAAAAAACTAAATAAACTAAAAAAATTCAAAAGTGAAATTGTTTGTAAAAAGTAAAATTATATTAAGTATACGAATTGAAAATATAAACAAATGATGTGAACTTCAAATATCTGCAATTATTGGTTTTTTCATTATAAAAAAATAAGTAAAAATCACTATATGATAAATGGAGTGAATATCCAATGTTGTCAAAATTTAAACTTCAAATGCTTATAAAAATTTAATTCGACTTTCCGGTAGAATTTTTTTTTGGTAAAGGCAGACAAACTTATAAGGAATCTTGTATTAAGTTTTAGAAACTTAGATATGAAACGAAACATTTTTATGAATTTCGAACTCAAAATATTTTTCACATTTTCGTGACTTTTACTTATTTTGTCAAAATTCAAAATTCAAACCCTTAAAAAAATTTGTTGTCAAAATTACTAGTATAAAAGTATATTTTTCATAATCACTCGTACGGGGTGATTACTTTTTAGGATAGTGAGTTTACCACTCAGTGAACATTTTTGTTTTTTGGATACAACTATAATATAATGTAATATTAATATATTATAATACAACAATGAAATATTATGTTTAACACTAAATTAATAATGTCCTGTAACTGCTAACTTTGGATTTAAAAAAAATTATAAGTTATAAATTAAAATTGTGTCTTATGAGTAATCACTTATAACGGGTATTTCTAAAATAAACCGTATAATGAATGTCTATTTCAAGTACTTAAAAATAGGTTATAATTATAAAATTACCCTACGATCAGGGAGCAGAAAAACGACGACGACGAGCGGCGTTTGTATATTATTTGATCTCTCGTATTTTATGTATTTGCTCTCAGAAATAAAATATGTGTGTAGGTACATAGGGGTAGCATATTTTTCATGAAATTAAATTTTTATTTAAAAAATAAATTTAAGCACTAAAAAAGTATGAAACCACTTTTAAAAGTTAATTACTTAAACCCTTTCGGGCTTCGGCGGAATTCCTGATATTGTGTGTGCACTGCGTAATAAATCAGATATACGACTGAACATAAGTCTGAAAATATTGAGATTTATTATGAAAAAAAAACTGTACGGATCGCATCATGTTTCTTGTTCATGTCTGCAGATTTGCTAACTAAAATTTTAGATCGATTGCGTCTTTGCAACTACTTCGACAATCGCCACGGATTGCATTATAATTTATACTACGGTCAATATGATAAAACCATAGATATATAGTATATTACAAAATTGTATATCAAGGAGGTCCGTTTTTGAGATTTGATCATTAAGATAATTACATGAGGCATAACAATAACCAAAATAGTTTATAATTTTAAAATTTAAATTACAACAATATATAAAGTACCTATTATTTTAATTTTTAATTTAATAATTAATTAAAGCGGTGTTTAAATATTCCAAGCACAAGCATATTTTTTTATGAGTTATTAAATAAAAATCTTATTGTAAATAAATGTGATTACTACTTTTTAGATTTAACATAAAAGTATTCAGCGCCTAATGCATCACATTTACCGTATACCGACTATACCAACTATAGTTTGTAAAATTCCAAGTTAAATCTTTTCTCTGAATTCTGTCGAGCACGAAATTAATAATTAATATTTTGTACATTAATTTTGAGTGCATTGGTTAGGTATATTTTAAGCTATTCGAGAATATTTAAAATTTAAAATGTACTTATTTAAATTCCGATAGACATTCAATAATCAGCAGAGCGACTTTCCTAGCTTTATAAAATAATTTGATGTTTATTGTTTGATGCACGACGGCGTCACTTTAATTCGCGGTTCGACCTGCACACGCAGACGGCATAGTAATATTCATATATTACTCAACATTTATATAAACTAAAAATAAAAATTGTTGAATTTTGCGGGACATAAGAACTAGTATGTACAACACTATTTATATCTATTTAATTGTATAAATATGTTATTATTCTGCGACCAGGATATGCCGTCGTCGTTTGTGCTGTGAGCGTATTTTTTTGTGTTGCGCGTTCGGGAACAAAAAATATGCCACTACTTCACCCGGGTAGCAAATTGTCTGTGACAATAAATTTTAATTTTGAGACTAAAAAGTAAAATATGTAAGCCCCAAAAAAATAGGTAATCAAACTTACGTATACATCGACTATTCGGGTATTATATATAGCTGCAAGGCTATATCTTGAGTGCAGACGCCATATCGAGGAACTTCTTTCTTCATCTAAACCCGAACTGAAAAAATCGAGATTTTTATAAAAATTACTTGAGTAGAATGAAATATGTGAGCAAATGTTTATTGTTGCCTTACACATTTCTCTTTTGTTCAATGAAATTATTAGAATTGTGAATCGTCTCCGACGAGTGACGACGATCGGCTTTTGCCATAGATGATAGATATTATAATATAATATGTTGTTATCAGTTTTCGAGTTTTTGAATTCTTTGGATGACACGATACATTTTTTATTTCAGATACCGAAACATAATATTATTCGGAGTGTTTAAATCTATACAATTCAGAACACGGAACTCTGCGTACAGGCCATTTAGATACACTACTGTCGCGAGTCAATTTTTTTGTCCGGCATCTCACAATACTGTTTTTAGTCTTAACGGTTAAACTATAACTTAATATAAAACTCTAGAAGTGTCGAGACATGAAAAAAAAATCAAAATTAGGCTTTGAAATTTACAGAAGTAATAAAAAAATGGATACTTTAATCGTGAATATAGGTAATATTCTCTCTGGGCCGGCATTAATATGTTATCAAACAATCAAACAATATTATTCTATAATAGTGTGCACTGTGCAGTATTTGCAATAATATTGTGTGATTATATTATACTACTACACTATAGTGTAATAAATACGTCGAAAACTATACCAATTTATATACGATATACGAAATTATGTATAATTTATAGTTATTTATATAAAATATTACAATAATTTAATAATGCTCATCACTCACTCAAGAAATATTTAAATACCAATGAAAATTGACGCTTCTAACAAACTACGGGGAAAAAGTGTAACCGTTCATTAAGCTTAACAATAGCTAATAAGTAAATTTTAAATCGGAAATTTACTCTGATAGATATTAAGACTAATACGCGTCAACGCTATTACATGAGAATTGTTGAAGTTAGGTAATTTGCTATGTTACCCACTTGGTTGTTTAACAGCTGACAGAGACATCATCTCAAGCAAATTACTTAAAATCTATTATAAATCCAACATTTCAATTCATATGATATATAAGGTAATAAGTAATAAATAATAGGTATAGCTTAAAATCGCCAGTAGATTCTACCCTTTCCATAATTAAGTTTAAAAATATTTCCACAGTTAAATTCTTACTTCATAGGTAAGTAGGTACCAATATTAAATATTAATTTTCATATTATGCCTATTGAATTTGCAAATTTTACAATTGTGGTTAGGAACATTACTTTTAACACTATATATATATATCAACTGCCACTTGTTAGTTGTTTATATATCAACTACCGAGCAAAATTGTAGGTATTACTTATGAGTTATGAATCATTACCTACATATTTTTACAATAAATAATAAGTCAATGATGTTACTGCTATGTCTCAAAAAATTATATCTAACAACCAAGTTTGAGCTTGCTTTTTCCAAATTAGAAGAGGTGAATCCGTAAAGGCACCTTCTCACGTGTTGCATCGTGTCTTTCTATAGGTAGAAATCCCTGTACCTGTAGGACAGAGATTCCCAAACTGTCGGCCCGACTGTGTTTTTACCTAACACAAAACAGTAAGACTTCGGCTGGCCCGGTAATACTGATATTTCTTTGGTCCCGATTCAGTTAGTACATAATATAATGAGTGTGAAGACAATAAGGGTTTACCAATACCAAGGTATACCTAATATAATAGATATAAAGAAATGTATTATGTTCAAATTTCAAGGAACGGTTTATAACCTTATATCGGATTGACCCTGCACAATTATTATATAGTTATTAAATATTTTACTAATTTATGGGTGAGACCAAACAAATTTTTAAATTCAAAATTATGAAACGGGAACCTAAGTAGATATGGATAGGTAGGTAGGTACCTATATCAATCAAAATAATGTTTTTTTTTTTGTGGGTAAAAAATTACATATTTTGCAATCCATGAGGAATCCTATTGGTTTATATTTCCAGGGCTGAAAAAAATCGCCAACCAACCCTGATAGTTACCTACTTTCCCACTTTTTAAAATTTGTATTTTGTTTTGCAACATAATATACATGTATTAATATATATTATTATATAATTCAAAAAATGCAATTGATACTTTTTATTGTGTTTGGCTTCACACGGTGAACACCTACATGGCTCAGGTATATGAACTGTAGTTTCAATGATAAACACACACAGTTCAGTTGCAATTCGCTCTATAAAGCCATTCTCAGAGGTGAAAGAACATTTTTATTGAGAAAAATAATGGATTTGGCGTCTACTTATACCGTATTTTTCAACACAGACGCACCCAACGATCACGACCCATCTTCTCTGCATTTATGCACAAACAATGGGGTAATGTTTTTGAAATATTATGTGTTATTTTGAGTGACGAGCTCCCATTAAGCTTACATACGTTTGTATTTTAGGGCGAAAACAGTGAAAACTGCTTACCAATTTATTGGGAAAATTTAAGCGTACACGCAATGATTAAAAAAGACCGGTGGTTACGTTCGAGCATCACGACTAGAAAACTTCTATTAAATAAAGGTAAGAAATAAGAATAAATTCATGAGCCTACTTTTAAGTTTAAATAATATTATTATTATCTATACCCATATAAGCATAAACAGCGGAGAAGCCCCCTAAAAAATGTCGATAACCCCCCCCCCCCCATCGAAATTAGGCTACCTAGGTATAAAGATGATAAATAAAAAATATAATTTAAATATAATTCATATTACAAGTATATTGGTACATCAAAGCCAAACAAAAAAATGTAATATTTTTTGTAATTCATCATACAATTAATAGATTAAGTAAATTCTAACAATTTGATGTACCTATCTTTAAATGTTAGTTGCCATATTTTAATTTTACTATCCGGTAAATTATAATATATTTATTAATTACAGAATAGTATATTTAATAATAAGCTTTCAAAAATTCTTGGTGTGGTACAACCATTTAAAAAAATCCAATTCTTAAATTTCAGAAACTAAATGTTATTTTATGTTATCGTATTACGTAAAGATACCACACGTATTGAATTTCATTTATTACCTAGTTAATATGTAGGTAGCCTGGTAGGAGGTTTATCTACTTTTTTTTTATTATCAATGCCAATAATATTACCGTTAAAAGTGTTATACTCTCTTACGGGAAATATTAATTTTTTATTATGTATGAATAGTGTGAATGATATAGGTTGAGGAAATTGCAGTATATTTACCTATGCCACATAGGTATTTTATAAAAAGTACCTAATTTAAGTTTTTAAATCGCAGATTATTAAAACAATTACGATAGGTATCTTAAAATATGATTTAAAAAAAATGTAAGTGGTAGTTCATAATATAATAATATTTTAATGGTTATAACTGAAGTGGTTATTTTAACCAAATTCTTTCCGTATTGTACTTGCACATTACAATACATTAAGTATTATGTTTATTACTGTGAAATTATTGTATGCATATTTGCGCCTATAATATTATGTTTAGTTTCCAATAGTAATTATACATTAATTCATAAGACAAATATATATAGATAGGTATTAGGTATATAAAAAAGTAGGTACACATAACACATCTAGTCCTTCTCAGTTCTGGCCATCCAATATTACAGACTACAGATCAAATTACAATATATAAATAAATAAATATATATATATATATAATAGGTACCTGGTACCTAATATTCCATAGATATCATTATTATGATTAATTATTATAAATTAAAACGTTTTGTGATAGACACTTTTTCGTGTTTTAATGTTTATTATTGACACATTCTATTTATTTTTCAAGTCGAAGGATATATACCTCCGTGTTCACTTGTCGCCATCATGGGACCAAGGTTTGTATATAAAACCAAAATTCGTTTTATACTTCAATGTTATGATTAAATTTAACAAGAATTAATAAAATTTCAGCGGCGCTGGAAAAAGTACTTTGATGGCTGCTCTGGCTAATAAACTTCCAGGTAACAACTTTTTTTCTTAAGATGTGACAACTGACAATATACATGATTATATAATATTCATTAAATATAGTAATGCGTATACAGTTAAATTATATATTTTTTTATTATGATTTATTTAAATACTCTTAAAGCCGGAATTGAACTTGAAGGAAGTGCAAAAATAGGAAGTCTTTCTGTTAGAAATTTTGAAAGCCACAATTTTGGATTTATGTATCAACATGATTTATTCTGTGGAGTTTTAACTGTAAAAGAACACCTTTATTTCATGGTAAGTCAATGAGTGATTTTTATTCAATTTTCGTTATAAAAACGTATTGTTGCAGGCTAAATTGAAACTGGACAGGAGAACAACTGACAAAAATCTGAAAGCTCGAGTATTAGCGGTTATAGAAGAGTTAGGTCTTGGTCAATGTGCCAATACTAGGATTGGGGCTGGAGGAGAAAATGGAAAGGTATTCAAATGGAAAGTTTATAACGGGATGATATAAACATGTTTATTATATTATATTGATTTTAAATTGTAGATAACGTTATCGGGTGGCGAGAGAAAAATTGTGTCTTTTGCAACTGAACTTCTTACCGACCCATCATTTCTATTCTGTGACGAACCAACAACAGGTACATAAATATATTACTAACAAATGAAGGTACCTAATCGTTATTCATTTTTTTCATCATCGCAATAAAATTATTGGCTACAATCACAGTAGGTAGTCATTATACAAATAAATAAATCAAACGATTTCATTACTGTATATTGTACATGTATTAATAAGACATAATAAGCACTACCTACTTACGCCACAATCACCAAAAAAATAAACATTTTTTACTGGCCATTGCCCCTTAGACATGCACATAGGAGCAAATATAGTGTGTCATAGACAACTATTGTTGAAAATTAGATTCCTAAATCTGAGTCGATAACAGTTTTTGTATCCATTATGTTATTATAGTACCCATAGAGGTGGATCATTTGGGTCAATCTCCTTCCTGGTCCTCGATTGTATCTTATTAACTAATACAAATTATACATAAAATACAATAGTAAAACACTATTGATTTACTAAAAATTGGATCAATACACCAAACTGTGGCCTAAAAAATGGATCATTTAAAAATTAAAATGTCTTTTTAACATGCCCAACTCATAGTAGCTGATTAACCTCCTGAGACCATTGTCAACAATGAGTCAATGAAGAATGAGCTTTTATCATTTTTCATCAACTTAAATCTTGAATATTTTAGAAAGACCATTGCGAAGGTGAAATGTAACTTGCGGGTTCCTGAAATCGTGAAATCGATTTCCTACTATGCTCCGTCGTTGCTACTTGCTTGCAAAACGACCATACGAAATCAAAATAAACATCTGCAACTGTGCAACTGTGCAAGGTACGGTGCGAAATTCGGAAACCAGTAAAACGAGTTTGTGAAGAAGTAACAAGCATTTTGGCGACGACTCAGTATAGTTTGAAATCGATGTTCAGAAACTATACCGAAACCCATCCTGAATTTTTATCAGAGATGATAAATTGAGAAAAAATTAACTTTTTTTCATACGGTATATACGGTAAATTTAACTACCCATAACTGCAATTTATTTTTAAAAATAAAATCAATCAAATTAAAATGTATTTCAAAAATTATTTTAATACAAAAAATATATGGTATGGAATAATATTATATTTAAAAAAAAATTGAATTAAATTTAAAAAACCTCAATAATGGTTATTTTATTGTCGATTTCCTGTAGAGCATCTAAATATTTGTATAGTGACGGTCGATATGGACGAGAATTGAGAATAATAAAAATACACGTTAAATTCGGAATGGAAGGATTCACATACATTAAACAAAATATATGCAAATAAAATACAAAATTATTTTGTTATAGTATCTGACAATGATGCTCACAGAAAAAAGGTCTATAATTATAAATAGTAAATAATCACAAAATTGGACTATCTTAAAATTAGATGCTATATAATATCAGTCATATTATGCTCATATCAAATCAAATACAGATGAGTAAAATTTATAGTAGCAGTGTAATGTACGTTATCGCTAAATTTCAAGATATGCATTTCTAAAAGCCTTATGTTTCAAAAATATTAAATACCTATCAGTTTTATTGCAGCTTGTATAATGTTTATTATTATCAATATATATTTTTTTTTGTTACAATAAATACATCGAGTTAAAGAAAAAAAACTTGTGGCAGTTATCATACAACCATTTTTATTGTATATTAAAGCGATTAAACTAATAGCTAGACGTCTAAACAACAACCGATTATGTAAATGCATCGACGCATCGTTTGAAACTGTCGCCTGTCGGCACTCGGCGTATTTACCTTTAATCTGGTTATATAGACTCCGTAGTTTTCACTGCATTCCCTAACTGAATAATTGGGCACAATATTAAATACTAATGTAGCAAGCATACTTAAATCACTTCCTTTCTACATTTGGTTATTTCAAAAAACATTTTAGAAAAAAAATTATATTTTATATTATACTAGCTGTCCCGTTAAGGCGTTGCCCGTGTATTATATACCGTATATTATTCTGCGTGGAATGTTGAAACCCAACTGTCACAATAAATACTTGACGAATTATTTGATCTTTGGGATCAAATTTTTTTTAATAAAACTTTATAGTTCTCTTTGCTAGAGAATTTAATATTTTAAATAAAATCACTTTCATCGATTACAATTAATTGTATTATAATAATTATTAAAATTGATTTTACATAGGTACTAATTACTAATTACGTCAAACAATTAAAATGTTCGAAATCGGAATTAACCATAATTCGAGAGAGAAATGAGAATATCTAATAATATCCATCTAATCCACTCCTAGCAAAGAACTAGCTAGCACAGTAGCACCAGTCGATATGTAATACACTGATACTTGTCATAGAATACTTACAATAGAGCATGAAATAGAGATCAACTGCCCCAAATATTCCGAAGCCCGCAAAATCTTCAACAACCCTCTCTCTTTCACTAGATTTAATACTATTTACAAATTTACAATAGTTATACATTGTAAGTATTTGTGTCTTAAGTATACTAAAAATGTACCTAATATTTAACTTGAACTTAAAAAATATGACAACAATATTGTATACACTTCACAATTTCAAAAATTAGACCCCTCACACCTATCTAATTTTATAACTGTGTAATTATTAATTTATTTATTATTCCTATCTTTTACGAATTGTTTACTAGGTAGTATAGGTGCATAATATATTATAGTATTATTTTTTGTTTCAATGATTTAAATTATTTATTTTTAACCTGGTTATTTACTTAGTTATTTTTAACGATTAATTAAATAACAGATTAATTAATCTAACCTAACCTTACGATTTGCAAATGTCATTAATATACTTAAAAATACATGCTTGCATGAATATTATAGAACGTGTTCTAAATCAGTGAGAACGTAATAAAGAGACGGACTACGGGGTCTGTCTTCAGGTACTAGTGCCTCAGAACAGTTAGGGCAAAATCCGACTGTCGATACTATTAAAAAAATTCCATGAGCTACACATCGAGTGATTCATCAGACACATGCCACTGTAGCAAATTAAGAAAATTATTGAGTATTGAACAATGCAATGGATGTGGAGAAAAATGTCAGGTGCACCACTACGATGAGACCGAGTTTTCCTCGGACTAAACAGATAACTAACAAATTTGGTTGTTGATTATTGAAAAATACTATCCAGTTAGTCAGTATAGATTTAAATATCTGATGATTTTTATTTTTTTTATTATATCCGTCTATATACATATAAGAAAAAAATATTGTGGTTATTGTTTATTATTTTAAAGAAAAGCGATAAACTATGTTTATTGAAAAAAGTCATAATTGCCCACATCTGATTTTCAAAAAGTATGAACAAAGAATATTTGACTTGTGGTAGTTGTGACACTAAATAGTAATTATTATTATTTAGTTCATTAATTAGACATATTTTTAAATAGTAAATTCCCATGATACTTTTAATTTTAAAGATTTATTTATAAGAACAACACTGAACACATTTTAATATTTATTTGATTTATATTTCATCTTTCATTGACATGTGATTATGTGAATATTTTATTTTAGGGTTGGATTCATACAGTGCTCAAAAAGTCATTAAAGTTATGCAACGATTAGTGTCTGATGAAAAGAAAACTGTTGTCTGTATAATTCATCAGCCTAGTACTGAGCTTTTAAATGTATTCAACCAGTTGATTTTAGTGGCTGATGGAAGAATTGCCTATTCAGGACCACCCAATAAGGCTATTTCGTTTTTTGAGAGGTAAAATTATTTGTGAATCCTTAGAATAATTATCACCAAATATGAGGTGTTTGTCACATCCAAATTTTTTTAGGTAGATGACGGTGTTTTTTTATAGCACTAATATTTAAACCATTGTTTGAAATAAAACATTTTTTTTTTCATTAGATTATCATTTTGCATGAAAAATTATAATTATTTTGGCATTATTTAATAAAAAAAAAATATTTACATACCTTATTATGTATAAAGTGGTGACTAAACCTCAATTTCCTTTACTCAGCGTAAAAATAAGTAGTTTAGTAGGATTATTAGTATATAATTTCATTAATTGTAATTTGTAATTAAATTTCATAAAAAAAATTATTTTTTACTTCAATATTTATTAAAACACTTCTGCTGCATCAATAAATAATAACGAAATCACTATAAAAACTATAATTAAATTTTTGAGAATACTGATTATTAATTGATTATTATTTATACTATAGTGTTGGTTATCGCTGTCCTGATAATTATAACTCAGCAGATTTTATTATGAAAATATTATCAGATAGTAACAAATCTGTAAATAAAGTTTGTGATGAATTTGCAGCAAGTAAACACGCAGAAATAGTAAAAAATGCTATTTCAAATGAAATATATTTTGTAAGTATTATTGTTGTATAGTAAAATGTATATAAAATATTGAGTATAAACTATAAAGGATGTACATTGTTTTAGAATTTTTGCTTACAGTATGATAAGATGTACACGATTTTTAATTTCAGGATACACCAAGTTTATCAGTACGGAATCAGTGAGTCTTATATTTATCATTATTAAATAATTTATCATTTTATGTAATAGTAAAACAAAGTAAAATATATTAATATTAGAGACTCTACTTTTGAGTAGGTACAAGCAATTTCGAATACAAATCATATTAGCTATAGTCTTTACACTGAAGGTATCAAATTAAATAACATTATAAAATAATTATATAACAAAACATATTATTTCAATGTAATTTAATAATTTGATTTTGGTCTGAATCTGAAAGGTTTTGAAAATTTTGCTATTTCTATACCTTTTTATATACCTTGATGTTTAGTCAAGTTTCATTTATATCTTTATTCTTAGTTCTGACCTCTATTATACTTAATATTTTCAACGTTATTTCAACGTTATTTCAACACTTTAATAAAATCTTTAATATTTTGTAGAACTATGATAAATCATACTATGATATTATACTTAATGTCGATGTGACATATACCTAAATAATACGACGATTCTTTGGAACCTAACAATACCAGCTATAGTTAGTTTACACGTTATAAAATTCGTAATTACATGGTAAATCGATGGAATTAGACGTCGTATAATGGCCAGTGATATACGCCGTGGTACACTCGCGCAAATCGTAATAAAATTTGTAGTTTAACTTTGTATACAAAAATAGGAAAAAACAAAAGATATACTCGAGCGTATTGTTTGAGATGAAAAATACGTGTGCCATTTTTTTCTTACTGTAGGAAGTATTCAAAAATATGTTTAGGTACATCTATATACAGCACGGTGGCTTATGCGTGGAGAAGAAACATATCTAAATATAATAATACGTATACCTAATACATAGTATATTATAATATGTATCTACCTAGGCCATATATTTACCATTTTCTAGCGTACGAAACCCGCGATTACCATACGGTTAAGGGCCTGAATAAACGTAGGCATATATTGCAGCCTGCGCTTTACGTGCACCGTACTATATACGTGCACTATACACTCCAGCTGATAGTTTTGCGGCGGCGACAATAACACAATAACAACAATACTGTTACCTCTATATATACGGCTATTATATAGTTGCCTATATACAGAGACACGTTTCTGCCATGATAATATTATTTTCGTGTCGCGGATAGGTATAATGTGTTGTAATCATTGTTTTAATGGACAGTTTACGCTTATATAGTAAAGTTATATGCGTAATGCGTATACCACCTATACCTATATATCTATAATAAGAATACATAAAAAACAATGTCACCTACTGTTTACTATTACTGTAGTATTGTTCATATAACTATATTTGTACATATAATTGTAAAATACCTAACTATAACTAATGGCCACAGATGCCGGGTCTATGTTTTTAAAATCAATAAAAAAAAAATATATATATATATAGACATCTAATACGTTTCCGAATATATTGTAATTGTCTACAGCTTATCACCGTTTTGGCCTGTGAAACTGTACCACCTGACGGGAAGATATATTCTGGAGAAAGTTCGCAACCCCACCATCGACATCCACAGGTTCTTGCAAAAAGTCGTGAGTATCCGATACGCGTTATTTTAATACACATTATGTACGGTAGTAATATTTAAATACATAGGTGCCTATTTCTACGAATATATTTTGCAAATTTATTATAAATCATATTCAAATGACACTTTGCAATGGTATACATATACTAGTTATACTATACGTAGCTACACGGACCCTTTCAATGGAATGCATGGCGAACAATACATTTTATTAAGCTCGGGCGATTAGAATTTCATATAAGATTACATTATACAAATCAACTAAAATAATAATATATATTAGGTAGTTGTAATTCAACAGTTTTCACTTTTCTCAAAATATATTAATTTAATAATATAATTATTACTATTATGCGGGATCACATATTTATTTATGTGTTATTCAATATTCAGTACATATCATCTATAAAAATGTTTTTTTGCGTTTGTTTAAAATTGCAATAATATCAGCGATAATATGATATTAAGCGACAATAATTTTTAATTTTTATATAAAGTCTATAATTTTAGATTTAGAGGAACAAAAAGAAGTATCTAACTATATGTATAGGTAGGTAGATTAATATAAAATACATATAGTAAAGTCGTAAACACTATACAGCACATCATAGACGATAGAGTTATTAAATTATGAAATAATTGGTATCAAGACTGAACATTTGATTAAAAGTCATTCATTCTATTAATTGGGCCGTACATTAAAAATATTTTATTGCTCCTTAGTCCGCCCTATCCTTCCATTCTGAATTACTGATCCGTTCTTTGGGACCTTCATTCGTCTATAGATACCATAGCACTGACAGCTGTCATATAACTATTAGCAAGTCGACCCAAAATCACCTTTAACTACACGAAAACATTTTCTTAAATCACACGAAAATTGATCTAGAAAGTGTGTTAATATAGTATAATAATAATATTCAGTATACCTGTAATTTGTCTCGTTAAACACGGCATATGATTATTATATATATAAATGATCGGTTAGAGGCGAGATGCACTCGAACTTCGAAGCAGGTACACTACATAATTGCGCTTATAAGAACGTTTACGCGACCGCATAAGACATACATATCTACCTAAAATACATATACAATATACATATTTCACATATTATATGGTACGTGTGTCTGTGCGTGAATGATAGGTATAATAATAATTATTGTTTACGGCAGCACACACTCACTAGACATACTGGGTGATCCATTTCATTTGACGGAAGACTATAATCGTTTTTGAAAAAATGTATTTATTTTGTGTAATTTTAGGTCATTATAAAACAACATTTTTCTTTAACTATATTTTTTCTATTTTTTATCGTAGTCCTTGATGATGACAACATGCATTTTTAGTTTATTATTCCAAAGCACTCTATTTTTAGAGTATTTTGATTTATAAAAATCGAATTTGGACGAATAACCTATGAGTTATAAGTATTTAAGTATTCAAAGTTATTATGACTGTATACTAGAATGGTACTCCGCGAAATATTTGTCAACTCTTCTGCTCATCACCTACATTTAAAATTCTTAAGTCTTAACTGATACAAAAACTACTTGACCGAAATTCGATTTTTATAGATCGAAATACTTCAAATAATATTCTGGTACGAAATTAAAAATGTATGTTGTCCCTCAGAAGAGTAAAAACTTGAATAAAACAAACGTTTCATGATTTGCGCAACAATGTTGTTTCGTAGAGACTTGAAATGATATCGTAAAAGAAATATTTCAAAAATATTAGTTTACGTGTTCTGAAATAATGAGCGCCTCGCGTTAAACGCATCACCCCGTTACTGGGGAATGAGATAAAAAAAAAGAAAATTCTAACCACCGCCCCCGCCGCCTCGGGCCACACGCGTAAATTTACACGGCGCACGCTATCTCCGGCGCTGTACCCACAGTGGCGCCCGGGACGCGTACCGCACCGGTGACCTCGACGCCCCGCCACTCGTGGTGTGCTGCGGCGGCCAGTCGTCCCCGTGAAATAAGACCACATATTATTATTTTTTTTTTACGAACACGAATCGTTACACCATATTTCATACCTCATTATATCGTAATATATCATGGTTATTATTATTATTATGTTGTATATAAATCGAACGCGTCTGTGCTATGATGATAATAATAATATAATATTATAGTCTCCCACGTGTGCCCCGCACGCGCGCATTCTTCTAGGCGCTCGCGTTACAGTTTACGTGTCGGAGACGTAGTCGTTTGTTTATCATTTCTGTGTTTTTTTTTCTTTCATTTCTTTCGAAAGACGCGGCTGCGTGACGGCGCGGATTCCGTCAGACGATAATATAATGCCGCCTCGTAACAGTACACACACACACACACACACACACACTCACACTCGTGTATATAATATTATAAATAGGTATTTTATATATTATATATATATATAACACAGTACCAGCTATTACCTATATATTATAAGTACGTATAAAGCGTGGGAAACACACGTCGTACGATTTTCCTCGATTTCACTAAATCTTTCTCTCTACATATTATATATATTGGTTTCGTTATCACGCCGACGTTTAAAAAAAACGCAATCGTTTTCGCATTATGTACATAATTGTGTGTGTATATATATACATATCTGATTATTTATTATATATATATATAGTAACAATATCGTTATTCGTTTCGATACGAGGAATATAATTACAACCCTGCTGTATACTTGTCTAATCTACCTATACTCACGCATGCAGTGTAATTAAATTATACTACAGCGCCTTGACATTTGATTGTTAAAGCAATAATTGGTTTAAACGGGTTGATTTAAGAGTTAATAATTCCTCGACAGTTCGACTTCAATTAATTGCATTTAGGATTCATTTGCCAATAACTCTTTACTAGTATATTAACGTACGTACCTACATATCCTGCTTAAATAAGGTCTTAATTTTATTTCCTCGTCATTGAAAAACCTAATGATAAAAAAGGTATTTTTCATATTTAATCTTAATTTTTAAAAAATTGCGTGACAAATGAAACCAATATATTATAGTTTATAACAGGTATAATAAATCAATACTTATTAATTATTATTATATATACACACGGATGGCTATTAACGAGTTAAAAAGTCAAAGTTAGTTACTTTTAAGTTTTAATGAAGTTACAAGACATGAGACTTTAATAAAAAAAAGTAACTTCCAATTTAACAAGTTAAAATGTGTTCCATAATATGCAGTGGCTTATCAATTAATTAATTTTATACTCATATTAAATTAATTTTTTTCTAATTTATAATATGACCCCCCTAATTAATTTAAAATTTGTTTTGCACAAATTACCTTTTTTATAAATAAAAATCATAATAACTGTAATTAATGTTACATATTATTATTATATCCATAGTAGGCACTACAGTTTAGACTGGCGAAATGTTGATTGAACAACCTTTATATATCAATATAGGAATCAAAATAATGTGTTATACAACTCTATATTTCCACAAAAAATTAAAGTCCCACCTAAACACATTAATTTAAAATATCTTTCAACAATAATATCACGATTAAAGATAGTAATATAATCGTGAATAACACTATTTACCAAATAACTTAGTTCAACGTTTAAAGAGACGTTGATGCCACACCGTGATCTCTTACCTCTTACGTGAAATTACTTGAAAGTAATTAATATTACTTCTGTTATTAGTACCTAGGATTTAGGAATTATCATTGTGGTGTATCCCTTTTTGGTAATTACTCTTATATGAATATTATTTTTAATGTATATTTTTTTTCGTATCGATACTTTTATCAAATTTACTTATTGTGCTGTGGCAAGGATTGTAAATACATTCAGTTTGAAAAAAAATAAACCAGTTATTGCCTAATAAATTCCTTTTTTTCCCATTTAACTTGTACAAATGTTAATTTGAAAGGAAAGAAATGTAACTTTTAACTTTAAACTCAACTTACATTTTTCTACATACATGTTTACCTAGGTATCTCGACAATTTAAAAAATTCGCAGAGCGGCTAAATGTGCTTCTATAAAAATTTATTGGTGTACGATCGTTTTGACTTAACTATTTCGTGCCTTACAGGGAATCGCTATAATGGTCGGCTTGTGTTACTTAGGCACAGTGCAACAGACCCAAGTCGGCATACAATCGGTGCAGGGCGTATTTTTCATGCTCATCACTGAGAACTTCTTCACGCCCATGTATTCGGTGATGAATCAACTGCCCACACAACTGCCCCTGTTCAGGAGAGAGTACACTTCAGGCCTTTACGACGCCCCGACCTTCTACATCGCCAACATATTGTCCTTCGTAAGTATCTTGTCCAGCAACCGTTTTAATATGCTGGTCGAGTAGATAAAGTACGGAGACGACAATATCACGCTTTATTTATACATACTAATTATCATACTGTGTAATATTATTATTAATACGGTTTTTACATTTTTCTTTCCGATATTTTTTTGTCCTGTCCGATGGCCCCCACGTGCAGATCCCCACGTTGATCATCGAGCCCACGGTGTACACGACAATCGTTTACTGCATGGCCGGTATGCAAACCGATCTGTATGGATATTTTCTCACGGTAATCATCACGATTCTGGTAATGGCCGTGTCCACTTCTTGTGGTCTGTATTCACGTATAGTATATAATATAATATATATTGATAATATTACTCTCTATATATGCTTATCTGAAAATATATATGTCATAATGTATTAATGTCATAAATATATAATGATATAATTACTCTCTCTCTCTCATACACACACACACACACACACACACACACACAAGAGCACGCGTATATTTATAGGCAAATTCTTATAACGTCAGTGCCTACCTAAGATCTAATTACCATAAATGTTTGTATGTTTTATATATATATTTATAGGTTACATGTTCAACAATATTTTTGGATCCTTATCTTTGGCGTTAACATTTGTCCAGCCGTTCGACAATGTGATCATGATCCTATCTGGAATATTTGTGAACCTCAGGTCTATAATCTATACAACTAGATTTTAAAGATAATTTAGTTAAATATTTTTAAATACCTTCTTATATCTAAGTTTTGAATAGCTTCATTCTACGAAATAGCAGTATTAGCATGTAAGGAATGTAGACTTATCAAATAATTGAAATTTTTATAACTCGTAGTAAATGTCTGCGTAAATTTAAAACATTCATGGCATAATTTTTAAAAATGTTCATCAATCTAGTATAACAATACAAAATTCATACAGTAAGGCTTGAAAAATAAATAGCAACAATCATTTTTTTTTCTAATAATTATCATTTTATAAAAAAGTATTGCTAGTTTTTATATACTCGTAGTTAACTAAAGACATCATTCAGCATTGAACGATAGTTTCTTTTCTCATTAATTACAATTTTACAAAACAAATTTTATTGGAATGTTTAATATTTTGATACTAAGATCTTATTAAAAATAATTATTTTATTTTTAGGAGTGTACCTTGGTTTTTGCAATGGGTAGTTAAGATATCTTGGTTTGAACTTGGGTTCGAAGCGCTTACTATTCTTCATTGGCAAAACGTGACATATATTGGTAAATAATAATGCGTTTAAAATATGATTACATTTTACTTTGATAATTGTTATTCGCGTGTAAAATATTTAAATATGTTATGCATAATGACTTTTAGCGTGTAGCGAAGATCCGGATGTACCTTGCCTGATGGACGGTAGTGAAGTTTTGGATAAATATGAATTTAATGTAGCCAATCTGATGCCACACATTTATTCCATGATTTGGCTGTACATTGGTTTCCACGCCATATCATTTGTGTGTTTCGTAACAAGGGCTCGTCTGAACAAACTGTCCTAGAACGAGAATTTTATATAGGGACTGGTATTTTTATATTTTTTTAAATTTTATTATTTTTATATATTTTTGATATCTGCGAATAAAGCACATTTTTTTAGAAAAAAAAAAAAAATGTTTTATTAATTTAAACTCATTCGTATAATAATATATTTTGCTATGTATACTGTATAAATTGGTACCAACTATGCGTCGCTTATCCAATAGGTACAAAATATTGTTTTTTAAAACGGAGTAGTTGAACCCTTTATTTTATATCATTCAAAAGCCAAATAGGTATAAATATATATACATGCAATATGCGTAACAAGGGAGGGGGTCATCGCTTGCGAAGGGTCAGTTTCGCCTCTTGTTCGCGTTTGTATTTTGACTGTTGCGACATTTTTATAGGTGGGAACCGTAGTCCGATCGTTTTCTCACATACCGTCACACTGCGGAGTGAGTCCCTCACCCTTTTTAGCCACGATATTACGTAGGTACGTGTGTTTTGCGTATACACGGGTGCAGCTGCTCCGTCGATATTACTGTTATAACAATCGCGTCTTAGTCCATACCCATTAATTTTTTTATTTTTTATTATTTTTTTTTTTGCCAAGAGGAGGGAGGTTGAATCAAATATATAATATTATGTGCTTAAATCGCGGTGGACGTGTATTTTTATTTCCGTAGTTTGGGGGAATTTATTACAATATAATATATTATTAACCTTATTATTTTTGTATTGAACTTATTATAATAATACAGGAAAATTAGTATAAAATGAAATTCGATCAACTAGAGAACGTTTCTTACAGATTTTTGAAATTAATTATATAGCCACGATAAATAGTATTGAACGTACATTTTTGTGATATCCTTACTAGAAAAAAAAACTTTAAATCTGTTCAAATTTAACTATTTAAGTTTCATTAGACATAATAGTGTGAAGGTGGACAATATTAACGCCTTCTTTAACTGTATTATGGAATATATTATACATTTGCACTTATTACTAATATTTTCATTTTATTTTTAAATACCTACAACTTTCAAGATCTAATGATCACGTGTCTTATTATAAATCGCAAATACTGTATGTATAGGTCGCAACTATATGTCATAACTGTTTCATCATTATTATACGGATGTTTATGTACTAAGTTCTTACTATAATATATAAATAAATTATTTTTATATTTGAACAAAAATATATTTTGAAATTTAAATATATTTAAAGTTAAACGTAATATATATGTATTTAGATAATTATGTAAAATATGTGTAGTATAAATAATATATAGATATTATATTACAGAGAATACAATTTTATCTTTATTTTAAAGATTACATATCGCCTATTATAGTACGTAGGATTATGTTTTAAAAGTGTATAGAATTGTTTTGTTTTTTTAACACAAATTAAGTCTGTTGTCTTACAACCTAGTATAAACATATCCAATTTAATATTAATTTAATTAAATAATTAATATATTAAAAAAATCAAGAGTATTAATTTATTTGAATATGTATCGCACAGCTGCCTGGAAGTATGCTAACTTTATATGGTAATAATAGTGGTTATACATTATAAGTTAAACAATAGCACTCTATTATAGACTGTGTAATGCACGTAATATATACTTGCATAGTTGCATGGATATTTTTCTCGAGAACATATTTTTCTTTTAAAGTCTAATGAACCATTTAAGTGTTAGTGTATTGTAAATAGTAAAAATTGAATAAGTAAGTGCATGTCTTTACTACACGATATAATAATGTTTTCATGTACATATATAAAAAAAACTTAAAAGAACCGCACCACCTGTTCATTGAGTTTGTTTTTTTTTTTTTAAATTGTATTTTCAAGTCAAATTTAATGCCACCCATATGGAATATTTTATATATTTTGTTTTCAATATACAACTAGAATTACTTTTAGAATATTATGTTGTCCTAATGAGCGTTTTATCAACAATTTATATCACGTTTAAAGTATGCTAAATCTTTATAACCGAATTATTTTCATTGTTATTATGGGGGTGGAGTTGCTTTTATATGTGAACAAGTTAATGTTTTCCTATTCGTGTCAGGAAATAGAGTTATTCATAACGGCTATAATAATAAAAAACAATACCTACACTTATAGGTTATAACCGTTATTTAATCTAAGTAAAATATCTGATATAAAATTCGCATTATAATACGTCTTTACAAAATTAATGCAATATGTGACTGTTGAGACCGATATATTATGTTTATAATGGAATGTATTTTTATTTTAAAAAAGCTATTGCAATAATTAATTCTGAATTTGTGTTGTTACTTGTTTTTAATTTTCTTACTCAGCTTCAACATATTTCATAGATCTATAATTTATATCATAAAATACTATAATTATGTTCTAATAAATCAAAGTTTATATGTTTCTATGAGGTCATGTATACCGTTTATCTCGTGTATTATAGTGTATCGTATAATGTTTTACATGTATAGATTTTAAACCAGGGTTTGAAAATTATGTACTATGACATATATTGACCATAAATATTGATCAAATCATTTAAAGTAAATATAAACAATTTGTAAATAATAAATATAAATAATATATTTTTATAGGTATATATTTTTCTTCATAAATGAAATATGCAGCTCATAGTTTTTTATTTATTAGATAATAGTTGTATTTTTTAAGACAGAACATATTTCATACAATGTTATAATATAATGTTTGTTTATCATTTCTGAATTTATTGAAAAACCACTAGTTTACAAAAAAAATTGTACCTACCTATTAATTCCTTAAATATTTAAACCATAGTACTTAAAATCAGTTTTTAGATTTACACCAAGATATTGGACAATATACAACATTTTAAATGAGGCATAAAGGTTAAAACATTGAATTACAGTTGTGGACATACTGATTTTAAATTAATAAATAATAACACACGTCAAGCGCCACCGATGAAAAGTGGTTGTCTACCCTATGGTATAAGAATAAGATTAATTGTTGTTCCACTCGAGTTACTAGGGATGTTCTGATTATTTTTCTTAAATCGATATGTGATTAATTCTCAATCCAAGTAACCCAAATAATTAATAATTTTTCCTCCAGGGATCAGTAATTGATCGTTATAATAAATTGTTTTCCTAAATATCACTCCCTTGATTTCGAACGAATAATAATCTCTTATCTGATTGTATTTATCATCTTCGTTTCTAGTTTATGAAGCAATTTCTGGGGAAAGTGTGCGAAATATCGGATCTACAACAATCGTGCATTCGGCATGATCCAAAACGTAAACATATAGAACCTGCCGTGTTTGCGGTACGACCGCGAACGGACAAAAAAAAGGTAATAACAACAATCGACGATGATAATAATAAAAAGATTAAAAATATCATTTTTTTTTTATCCGTTCACATTTTACACGGTCGTTTCGTGTCACAGTGACTGGTTGCAAAACCCTACTGCGCGTGGCGCAGGGCGTATCGGTGCACACGACTTGCGGTGGTCGTCGTCGGCGTCGTCCGGATGACTCGACCGACGGCAACAGGTGACCTACCGTGGGACCGCAGATTTCATCCGTATCGGCATTCCCACGTTTATCGACCGGCCGCCAAGAACGCGCGCTCGTTCAAACAGTCGTCTGTTCAATACACGTCATGGGCAAGTATAGGTACACAGTTTCACGACGATAATAATAAAAATAATAGTAATCGCAATGATATTATATCATTTTTTTTTTGCATCTCCGCTATCGACCCCCCCCCCCCCAAGTCCATAGGAGAGCGACCCGGGATCGAGACGAACTCTGCTATATGTACACGGGCGATACACGCGCTCACAATTATTATTATCTAATACATAATATGGCCACGCGCGTTTATCGGCGACTATCGATCGACAAATTGCGACGGATCGAATGTGGTGTACCCACCGGTTGTGTATAGGTATAATAATAACATAGAGCTTATATGTACCTATACATCGAGCTACATAATAATATATGTAATGTTATGCGTATGGCGATCCGCGATTATGACGCGTACACGATTGCCGCTGATACCGACCCCTTCGGGAAATGCCGACTCGAACCGGTGAAAGTGAAACGGTATAATATCATAATAATTCGTATCATACACGTTTGAATAATATGAGCATGATGATAATATTATTCCATCGTTGAGACTTGAATTATGACGAGCTGTGTGCATTATTCGCGCGTCGATCAGAACCATGAGATATGAATGTTGTGCGCATTTCGATGACTGTGCATATATTATACACCCACTATATTGGCAATAATTATTACTACGTGTCGAGATTATTATTATTATTATTATTATTAGTACTGTGCGGTTGGCGAAATTAAAAATATCACAAATCCCACACGCGAAACCGTAATTCGAACAACTGTAAAATGTTTATAATTCGCCTGTTTAAATTGAGTTTACGTTTTAGATTTTTATGTTAATACTCCGATTGTTTATAATTTCATTGTTTTACATATTTATTATTGTCATTATTTTTTTTTTTGCAAGAAACGCTGGACATCGTTTATTATGTTGTGTAATCATTACGTAGGTATCTGGTATATATTATAATATATATATATTATTATAATATTATTATGTATGAATATGATTGTGCGTTTGTTAGTATTTAGTAATCTCTTCGACTACTGAACCAATTGGCACCAAATGTTTCACACGTATCCTTTGAGAGGTGTAAGGTACTTATAAATTTGTTTTGACCCACATAGGTTGCCATATAGGGTGGCTACTCGGCCGATTTTGACGTGAAAGTCAAAGATAGTTCTTAGAAGTATCATACAAGTGTAGAGAGTATATTTTTAACTATCTACGTTTAAAAATACATCGAGTGTATTCAATATAAGTTATTATTCGGTTAGTTATTCAATAAGTCACATTGCCCATCTGGGTCGAATTAGTTCACAAGACTAGCTATACCGGATTCACCTGTTAATTGAGGAACATTAAAATCGAGACACACTTACTAATATAGCACCATATACCTATTTTATACTTGTTCATTATTTCCCGGGAAAAGTCGGGTTAGCAGCTAGTTATAATAAATATGACGACGTAAGTGTAAAAGCACAACTCTCACAGATTTCGGTAGAGCAATAGAGGTGCGAACAACTTGTGTGGTAGGGTGATATTGTGAATATTATAGGCAATACTCCAGATCCCCGGTGGATTCGCTTTCATTTGTTGTACGTTTAAACGAATTTGGTATTATTTGATTGTGTATGGGTAAACACTCAGGTACAACATATAAATAATAATATACAAAAGTATACATCCATGTGCGTGTAAAGCAATGATAATGTGGAAGTGGTCTGTCTACGCCTCTCACGGTAAAAAAAAAGTTAAATTATATACACATGTACTAATAATATATTCGAATCATATAGAACTATAGGTATACATATATTTTTGACTGTCGTCTCGTGATAAATCCCTGTCTGGTTTGTAAAAAAAGACAATAAGGGATCGACAGTCTTTTGTTATTCATTCCGGTCTCTTTTGAAATTTGAATGGCCCGATGGCATAATGAATAAATGTGTTTCCGTGATTTAACCCGATTTCTAAATACGTCGTTCATCTCTTAATATAAAGACG